CCACCCCTGATCGGTGGGTGGGGGCCAGAAATCACAATACACAGTGTGGGAAAGTTCCAAAGAACTTTCCCACCTGTGTAAAATGACAAAGAGCAATATGATTGGCTTAAACCAACCAATCAGAGTGTTCTTAGTCTAATTGCAGGGCGGGGCAAGGCTTTATAAGCCTTCCCCCACCCTGCAGAGCTCAGTCTGCGCGGAGCCCTCAATGGGTGAAGATGGATTATTTTTTTTAGCGTCAGATTTTTTTCTTTTTCTTCTGGTATTTTTTTGCGCTCTGATTTTTTATCTTATTTTGAGTTCGACGGGTAAGATGGTTTTTTTATTTGGCCTTTTATGGGGCTGAAAAATTAAGATTTTAGAAGAAAGAAGACATAAAATGGTAAGTGTTATTTTTCTTTACAGGTTAGTTATTTTATTCCCCCTTCACTATTTTTAGGGTGAGGGGGGTGGGTAGGGGATAGATTTTATTTGGGTGGGGGGTAGGAGACTAGGGGCTTGGGGATTCCTAGTCACCTTTGAAGGGGGGGATTTGCCATTTAGGGCCCCCACCCACCGCCCAGGGGCAGGAGCCAGGGGGGAGGACAGTAGGTCCCACCCCTCATTATCTTTATGGCCCCCCCCCACCGCTCAGGGGTGGGAGCCGGGAGGAGGACAGTAGGTCCCCCCTCATTATCTTTATGGCCCCCACCCACGGTGCAGGAGTGGGGGCCAGGGGAGCACAGTAGGTCCCCCCCTCATTATCTTTATGGCTCCCACCCACCGCTCAGGGGTGGGGGCCAGAGGGGAGGACAGTAGGTCCCCCCATTGTGATTTCTGGGCCCCACCATGCAGGGTTGGGGGCTGTGGGGGTAGGACAGTAGGTCCCCCCCATTGTGATTTCTGGCCCCCACCCACCATGCAGGGTTGGGGGCCAAGGGGGAGGACAGTAGGTCCCCCCCCTCATTATCTTTATGGCCCCCACACACCGCACAGGGGTGGGGGCCAAGGGGAAGGACAGTAGGTTCCCCATTGTGATTTCTCACCCCCACCAACCGTGCAGGGGTGGGGGCCAGGGGGGAGGACAGTAGGTCCCCCACTTATTTTAGGTTTTTATTTTTTTTATTTTTTTTACAGTGAGCAGCCACTGGCTGCTCACTGTTTACTAGACATGCCCCTACTCGCAGTATAACGAGTAGGGGCTGAATTTACTAATACTAAGTAATCTTTACTTAGTATTAGTAAATGTTGCTGAAATACCAATTTAGGTCTCTCAGCCTCTTGGTAGATAGCTCACATGCTGCACTGGCCAATCACAGCCATGACATTATTGGGCATGGCTGTGATGGCTTCTAAGGGCACACAAGACAAACGCTTGTTGATTGGCTGCCCTGCAGCTTTTCAAAACGTGCCATTAAATCGCCGAACACCGAACTCGAACCCGAACTGTTACTGAAATGTCCGGGTTCGGGGTAAAAAAAAACGTAATGTTCGGGTTCGCTCAACTCTCTCTATATATATATATATATATATATATATATATATATATATATATATATCCGCTTCACGACCGTGGATGTACTAGGTAAATCCGACAAAAAACGGTCGTTAAGGACTGCGGACTTACCTAGTACGTCCGCGGCAAATAGGAGCCATTGAGTTACCTGGACAGGCGAACCACGGCGATCATGGTTGGGGGGACTGCCGGAGACTGCAGCAGCTCCGGCCACCCCAGCTCTCCAGGGCTATGTGATCACCATGATCACATCGCCACAATAGGACTCTAAGAGCTGCCAGCAGGAGGACTGTCTGAGCTGTCAGGCAGTCTCCCAGGCTGCTAAAAAGTAAAAAAAATAAAAATATATATATTATACATATACAGATGGTCCTCATTTAGCTACCTACCTGTTTTACGATGGGTCATACTTACGACCAGGCTCCATTGTGAGCTGTCATGGGGATTCCCTGCTTTGGTGCACATGTCTATGTTCATGGAAACTTCCCCGAATATAGATGAACGCACAAGAGCAGGGAATCCCTCTAATCTATGTTCAGGGAAATTTCTATGTGTGGGTACAGTAAATGAATAAAAGGAAAATTACAGCTAAACACAAACACCACAGAAATGTTAAAAGAGCCCTTAATGGTAATAAAATTGGAAAACAGTCTGGTCACTAAGGGGTCAAACTTTGAATGTATGGCTTAGAAGATCCATAACCAATTTTAATAAGCTACAGGAGTTACGATGATTGGATTGTCTAGTCTGTCAGCAAGACATGGCAGTAAAATGGACAGATTTATTTTCTGACCTACGAAACTAAATATATTTTTTTTAATCCTGGTGGTTTTACCACCACTTAGTAAATCAAGCAGATTGTGCTTGTCTCTGTGTTCATTAATTTGTGTGTGTATTTTTGTAGGCATACTTATCTGTGGGTTACATTCCACAGAAGCCAGAATGGAATGCACCAATCACTGGTATTCCGATTTGAAATGATTTTTTTTTAAATAAACATTTAAAACGTTATATTATATAAATATTGTTAAGGAACACATTCTAGAAAAATATATATTATTTATATACAGAGAGAGAGAGAGAGAGAGAGAGAGAGAGAGAGAGAGAGAGAGAGAGAGAGAAGTTGAAAGGATAGCACTCTATATCAACTTTTATTCCAAAATATTGATGTTTCAGATTTTCTCCAAATCTTTCATCAGGATCTATATAATATCTATCTATATATCTATATATGTACATACATACATACATACATACATACATACATACATACATATACACACACACACACGAGCACATAATATATCTCTTATAGCAAATTTTTAAACAAATCACCAATCTGGTTAGCTGCATACATATAACTAATTATTTTTAACACATTTTACAGTTACTCAGCTTAATAGAGGACAGAGTCATTATTTTTTAATAGAAACTCTTTTATAGATTCTGCACAATTCCACACATAGCAAGCAATAAAGCAGCTGACCTCATGATATTATTAAACATTAAGCGCAGAAGGTTGTTATTTTTTTATTATGTCTTGGTAAAATTATTAAAGATTGTGAGAAGGTCCCACTAGGTTTACCTAAGATGCTGTAAATATCTCAAAGGAAATTAGAAAGAGCATGACTATTAATATCCTTATATTTCCTGTCATCCTTATGCGGGTTTGGAATTCTTAGGGAATTTATGGCTGGGATTGGACAATCCAGGGGGATTATAATAGAGGGAACCATTAATTATTAAAAATGAATAAGGGACCTTTTAACACAGTGGACTACATATTGCATCCATTTCTGTTACCTTACAGATATAGTCAGAAGTGCTTATATCGCAATCATTAAAAAAAGGAAAGAGGAAGAGAGAGAAATGGAATTTAATTACCAATTTGTCTAAAACAATATATTTAGTTCATATTTAAAGCAGTACAGGCCAAGTCTGTCATTTTGGTCAAATTTAAGAGGGTATATGTGCTCTGGGTGAGATGATAGAATAACGCAAAAAGAATCAGAGAATATCAGAATAATGAAATATAAGTAGCTTGCCCTTTCGTTTGTTTCTGCTCAGATCTCAAACACGTTTTTGCTCACTTGTGCCATTACATAGAAAATCTATTCTTTTCCCATATTAGACTGATCTCTCTCATAAGAGCAGTCCAGATCCAAAATGTTGGTATGTTTACTCTGCATTCGAAATGCAGAAATCCCAAATGACTGTTTTGACTTTGGGTCTTGTCAATGAGGTGCAGTTGATACTGCTCTAAGCACAGGTTGACATTTGTATTTTCCTTATCCTTATAATATTTACACTTTAAAAACTCAAATTTTATCCCATGACAGGAGGCTTCGTATTTTGCATAATCTTTCTTTACTAACTTCATAGCAGCAAAGAAAAGAGTGACAAAACTGAGAACCAATCACAATGCAGTATAGGGTATAAGAGGCATGACATTTAACATAATTTCCTCTTTCTTTGCTGCTCCATCACAAGAGCTAAGTACACAATTTTTTCTCTGTCATATTTGCTGAACTGTGATTTATACATATTCATACTATCATTGTTTACCTAACTGTGATATTATCATACATATTGCATTGTTTTCTATTGATTACCTCTACCTTGGTGGGGGCTACCCCTCTACTTTGGGGTCTGTTCAACCTCCCCTCAGGGACCCCTTTCCCTCCACCCCCTGCCCACCCCTGCCTTCTGGGGTATTTCCCGGTCCCCAAAAGGATTTTGGGACTCCCCAGATTTTTATTCTTCTTCCCAGCACCATTACTATTCCCACGGGCTTCTTCTTTATGCCGTGTGATCGTGGAACTTTCCCGCCTGCTGCTCACCCTTTCGTCTCACATATGGCACTAAAATCTTGCCGTGCATTCGCGTAAGGACGTTCACTCCTTTTCTACCGAACGCTCACCGTTCGCCAGTTTTACGCTATCATCGCTTGGCGCACACATTCACATGCTCGTACGCACAAACACCCGAACAGCATTACCAGAAAGCTCACGTTCGGCTGTTTTTGCTCACGAATGCCTGCATTCATTCAAATCCTTGGTAGTCTGGTGACCATTTTAAAGGGATATTGCTACCAGACAAACTGCCTATCTCTACAGCTCTGAGTCAAAGCAAACCTATTACTATACCCTGCTTGTTTTCAATCAGTGGGACCAAATCAGGTTGGTGTCTAACACTTGGGGTTGGTTAAGCCAGTTGGGCTATCCCTTATCCTGGCCGGGGTGAGCCCCCATTCATGTGCTGCTGAACGGGCCTGTTTATGCAGGACTCCGGCTACCTGGGTGAACCCTAGTGACAAGCCCTCTCATCAACTTCCTACGACCAACCGGTCCTACAATCTCCAGGTAAATCATTACCGTTACAATAGTACCCCTGGTCCCCAGGCCTCTCCAGTTAAAGTGCCCTCACGCATAGGTAATCGGGTGAGCCCCGAGTGTCAATTCCAGAGCAAATGGAGGATTCAAAAAAACCCTCAGAGCTCCAGGCCATGATCGCAGCAGCTGTAGCAGCAGCTATGGAAAAAGCCTCCTCTAAGTCCTTCCAGATGGAACAGGACGTCCCTAAGTCCATCTCCAAATGGACTCACTATGGTGCAGACTCTGAAGACTCTGACTCTTCCAGGGAACACTCTCATCGGCCTAAATGCAGAACAACCACGACCCGTACGGTCCACGAACCCACTCAGATTTCCTCAGATGAGGAAAACGTGGAACCCACACATGCACTGGCTGTGCTGGATGAATGGCAGGCGGTGGTCTCTGAACAGGAGGACTCCGACAGGGACTGACAGGGTCCGAGGATGCTCCCGGGCAATATTCTCCAACGGTAAGTCAACATTCTTCCCTGCCTCTAACCTCCTGTCATATCGCAGGTCGTGTTTCTCTTTTTTTCCAGAACTGGGAAGACCTATCCTCAGACACGTGGATCCTCCAAACAGTGCGGGGCTATCAAATAGAGTTCAAGACGACCCCGTTCCAACGGGCCCCTCCATGTCCGATCCAAGTTACAAGGGCGGACGCCCATCTAATAGACTCGGAATTACGAGAACAACAGTCCAAAGGTGCCATTCAGCCGGCACCGGATTCATCCGGATTCTACAGCAACATCTTCCTGATCAGGAAGAAAACCGGCAAATTTCACCCTGTTATCAATCTCAGGGAGTTCAATTCTCACGTGGTATACCGACATTTCAAAATGGAGGGTATCCACCTTGTCCAGGATCTGCTTCAAGACAACGACTGGTTTACTCATCTAGACCTCAAAGATGTGTACCTTACCATCCCGGTACACAAAAGGAGTCGCCCCTACCTCCGCTTCTTCTGGCACAGGACACCCTGGCACTTTACCTGCCTCCCGTTCGGCCCTGTGTTGCTTCACCAAGATAATGAAGCCAGTAGTGGCGAAACTCAGAGCCCACGGCATAAGATGTATTATTTACCTCAATGAGGTACCTTGATCTTCAACAAGGATACAGGGACTCTGAGGAGACACACAACCTACATGATACATCTACTCGAGTGTCTAGGTTTCATTATTAATCGCCCTCGATGACCCCGGCTCAATCAATTCTATTTCTCGGAATCGAAATAGACTCCACATCATGCACTCTGCGCCTCCCTGCCGCAAACATTGCAGCCATTCGCAGAGAAATCCGGAAAGTACTGTGATTTGCATCCATACCCCTGAGACTACTGGCACGGGTTGTAGGCCTTCTCTTCTCATCCATCCAGGCCATTTTTCCTGGACACCTGCACTACTTAGCCATGCAACACCTCAAGACCAAATTCCTTCGCAGAAAACCTACATACGACCAACCGGTCCCTATGTCGGACGAGGTTTGGGAGACTTCGTGCTGGAATTAGACGCAAGCCGATCAGGCAGGGGAGCAACGGACGGAATCTCCTCCACGGGAGGGGTATGGACTTCCTAGGAGCTCTCGATGCACATCAACTGCCTGGAACTCTTGGCCAGATCGTTTGCCATTTTCAGCCTGGCAAAGGAACGATCCAACTGCTGCATCATGCTCCAAATGGACAACGTCTCAGCTGTAAGATACATCAACCGCCTCGGAGGCACACGTTCCCAGGCACTAGTGGAACTCACCAAAGAGATCTTCGACTACTGCCTACCACGCAACATCATGCTGCTGGCAGATTATCTACTGGGACAATCCAACATGACGGCGGACTGGTACGCCACTGGCGAGACGCCAGCGATTGGCAACTAGACCCTCATGTTTTCACAATACTAGATGCACAGAGGGGTCCTTTCATCCTAGATCTATTCGCGTCCTGCAACAACCGACAAACGAAGAACTTCTTCAGCTGGCTCCCAGACCCGGAGAGCCTAGCAACAGACGCTTTTCTACAACAATGGCCACAAAGCGGAGCTTACGCATTCCCGCCTTTCTCAATGATAACCAGGGTCCTTCACCGGATCCGCATACAGAGGGTGAAAATAACCCTCATCACGCCACTTTGGCAGAGTCAACCATGGTTCCCGGACCTTCTGGAACTGTCAATCAGGGACCCCCTCCTCCTACCAGAGGCTCCGACCATCCTCAAGAACCCGTTGGGACTACCTCATCCGTGTCACGTATTCTTCTGGTCTCATGTATTCATCCGCTTATAGAAAAGTAGTTAATGACATTTACTGTCCACACAGGAAAAGTTGTGCCAAGCAGCAACCTAATCCACAGAAGGGTTAATGCTGAGCAGCAATTATGCAAATGAAACCTGGTAACTGACTTTGGGGTCAAAGGCCGGTTACATCCTATCAGAAAGAAAGGAGGGGTATTTAGGCCCAGTTCTCAGCCTGCTCAGTGCCCTGTCGTGGTTTCCCTTGTGGTTGTCCGAGAGCACGTTCCTGTTTATAGTTTTCTACCTGGTTTTTGACTTTGGCTTTGTTTATTGACTTCTCTATATTCTGGTATCCTGACTCCTGGCTTTCCTCATCGCTGTGTCCCTTTCTGTGTTCCCTGACCTCGGCTAGTATTTTTGACTATTCTTTGTACATTAAATCCGGCCATTCTAAGGACCGGTAATACGTTACTTATTTGTCATCCGTGCTGTACAGTTCTACGTGCTGGATCAAACAGTAATCCTGACAATCCGCTGGTCATGGAGGGACGCCTTCCCCTGGTGGCCTGGGGTTTCTGGCGAACCGAGGACCTATCGCAGGAAACTAAGGATCTCCTATGGGACTCATGGGCCCCAGGAACAAGGAGGTGCTACTTATCAGCATGGCACTCCTGGACAAGTTGGTGTTTGGGATGGGATCTCGAAGACTGGACCAGAGAATCCACTTTTAGGACATTTTACTTCCGTCCTTTTAATAATCCAGCTTTTGCTCTACTTTCCCAGCGTTAAAATTGCAAAATACGAAGCCTCCTGTCATGTGATAAAATTGAAGATTATGTTAGCTTCAGTGTACTAATAATCTTAATTTTACTAATGACAAGAGGCGAGTATTTTCCCTCCCTACTCTCTTTCATTCTTTCGTTCTTCCCTCCCTATTAATTTCATCTATCTATGGCATTTTGTTTTCTCGTATTATTGTATAAATACCTAACTTATGGTAGCATTTGTATTAATGCTTTACTTACATTCATTCTAAGATTTTTATACATGTACTCAATATGGGTGGGATATTTAGTTGGCACCGTTAGACGGGAGGACGTGTTGTTATTATTATACTAGATGTTATTAAGTTAAATTAAGGGATAGACATTCATTGTTTTACACAATCATTTTTTGGAATCTAATACCCTTTATACTCTCGTTTCAGCTTAATCAGAAACCACAAGGAAATATTCAAGACTCCATGCAAGGTTTGGTCATCATCACACCATGAAACCTTATCATCAAGTCATGGGAGATAATTGTTTGAAAGCAGGATGCCTTCGTCTGCATTCTACCTGTTCCTGTTCAAGTTATTCATATTAGTTTTCCATTATCTTATTCTATGGAGTTTTTCAAGTTGTTCTATTATTCTGCATTTATGACCTTGTGATGTCGCAGTTTTTAAAGAGGAAATGATGTCATATGTCATGCCTCTTATACCCTATACTGCATTGTGATTGGTTCTCAGTTTTGTCACTCTTTTCTTTGCTGCTATGGAGTTAGTAAAGAAAGATTATGCAAAATACTCGCCTACTGCCATTATTAAAATTAAGATTATCAGTACACTGAAGCTAACATAATCTTCAATTAAATGCATTCAAGCAAAACCAAATGGAGAATATTAGAACCCTTCCTCCCCCTCCCCTCCCCTCCCCACAAAAATATATAATATACAAAGATAGAAATATATCAAAGAAAATGATCTTCACATGGGATAGAAGAGGGGTGGGGGGATACTAAAATCCTAGAGTGATCCTGAGTGCGTTTCGTTTCCCCTACTTATACTTTATCAACATAAACTCAGTTCATTTACGTCACACTTGCCTAATTAGAAATTCAGAGCACCCCTTATCTGCTGTCTCTTTACTCCCCCATCACACAAGGCAACAAGGCATTAATTGAATCACCATGAACTGAGGCTAATTAGATCAATGTTTAGTATACCTCCTTTCGATAGGATGATCTATAGCACTATTGACCTAAGATCTTGAAAGGGAAAAGAGATTCACTAATAATCACTGATCAGAAAATCCATAGGTAAGTGGGACATTTGCCCTTTAAAGTTAAACCGCATATGGATAAAACAAGCACGTAATAGATACCATTATTATGCATAGCAAATCAAAACAAATCACAATATAATTTGTTTATAAAAAATCTGATATAGACAATAAGACTATTTACGAAAATCCCAAATATGTTTGTACAACCAATTTATTCTCCTATCTACCTGATCATTAAAAAATACAGAAAAGATGCTCTTCATGCTAATTTTTTCCCGAGATTGCAAGCATATTATATCTTATTCTCAATATATCACTAAGACTGACACAGCGGTTTAAACTTTTCGGTTGCATAAGGTATAAGTATTTCAGATGAAGAATACCATATGGGGGTATGAGATATGTTGTGGACAGAATTTTTAAATATTTGAAGCCAAGTTAGAAATTGCTTTCCTGGGCAATCTCAAATTCGTAAACTGAGTGTGCCTGTGTGGCTGAATTTTGTGTTTGGAGGAGGCTCAGTGTTGTGTGTGAAAGAAAGAATGAGTGTGTGAATGGGGGACCCTGTGCTGTTTGTAGTGTTTGAATGTTATGCTTTTTGGGGAGGAGGTTGAGTGTGTGTGTATGGAAGGCCTCTCACACATCTTATATATTTTTTTCATTAGCTGACCTGCTAATCTTTAGGCTGAAGGGGGCAATAATCTATGGTGGTCATGTGGAAGACACACTAGGCAGTAGGAAACCTGGTGGGCCAGAGGCAGAACATTGTGGTCTGCACCGCTATCAAGTGCAGATCATGGCAGGTTCAAGGCAGGCACACTCACAGACAAAGCCAGAGCTTTCAGACCAGACCAGGCCCTGTCTGAGCCAGGCCCAAGGCAGCAATCTAGGCTCAATAAACAGTGTCTCAGACCTGGACCATAGTCATGGGCAGGAGGCCTGCTTCTTCACTCCTCCAGGAGTGCATGGGAATTTTTTGTGAGATGGAGCATTTGTCACAATAATATCCAAATACACCTCTTCATTAAGACATCAACACACAAAAAACACCTGCATTTAAAACCCAACATTACATGCAAACACATCCCTACATTCAAGCGCAAACATTACATAGAAAAAAAACT